CTGCCAAATACAATACGAAAAGAATTGTTATTTTTATAGATCAATACTTACTTTGCGTTCATTCTTTTGAACATTATGGATAGTAAAAACAACATTGCCAAATATAGTAAATTCTCCCCAATTTTCCTTCAGCTTCTAAACAAAACTGGACAATTTGGAAAGAGGAGATTTGAGCCTTGCACCTCGTTTTTATAATTGTTGACAATCGGCAACTATTTTTTAAAAATGGCATTTACAAGTTGCCGTCACGCTGGCGAGAAGTCATAAGCAACGATGGAAAGTGTATTCTACAATAAATATTATTAAATGTATGAAAATTGTGTTATATTTCAATTCAAAAACGGGCAGAACTTTCCGGTAGACCTAATATATGTGAGACGTTCTGTTCAACAAATCAAATATTCTGTCAAATACAATACGAAAAGAATTGTTATTTTTATAGATCAATACTTACTTTGCGTTCATTCTTTTGAACATTATGGATAGTAAAAACAACATTGCCAAATATAGTAAATTCTCCCCAATTTTCCTTCAGCTTCTAAACAAAACTGGACAATTTGGAAAGAGGAGATTTGAGCCTTGCACCTCGTTTTTATAATTGTTGACAATCGGCAACTATTTTTTAAAAATGGCATTTACAAGTTGCCGTCACGCTGGCGAGAAGTCATAAGCAACGATGGAAAGTGTATTCTACAATAAATATTATTAAATGTATGAAAATTGTGTTATATTTCAATTCAAAAACGGACAGAACTTTCCGGTAGACCTAATATAGACTTTTTCAGATGGTTTGTAGGAGAGACGCGGAAAATGATGTCCCGAAGCTCGTTCTCTAAATCCATGGATACGACCTCCCGGCTATTTGATAGAACGAAACTTTTTCGCCCTTGTTAATCCACTGTGCGCGTATGCAACGACCACTGCGCCATAACGTAACAACATTTATCCTGTTTGTAAACAGCGCCCCGCGGTCTCTCCGGTTCTGTGTTATTTACTAGAGGTGGGCGGGCGACAGAAAATTTCGGGTACCCGGCATCGAAGTCGGGTCAAGTAGTGTTCAGGTCGAGCCGAGAACCCTAATGTATACAACAGGGGTGGCCTAACTTTTCATCACGACCTGTTTCCTTTTTTTTTTTTTAATTATAGGCGGCGGTCTACCAACATCGTATGTGTTAAGCGATCGTAAGATAGGTGGTAATTTAATACGTTCAGTGACGCGTCGCTCGCATTCGGGTGACACTAATTTTTTTTATTGGTTTTCGAAATTAATTTTTATCGCAACAGATTCGGATAAACTGAATCTTACTAGAATGTTTAGAATGCAAAAGTGATCAAATACCATTCGCTATGGTAACCTTTAACTTTATATTCCATTAATTAAATTACTTCGATTTTGTGGGGAATTTTTTTGGGACGAGTTTCGGTACTTGACGTGTTAAAGGCAGAAATGAATTTAAATTTAAAATAAGCATTAAATTTGTAATAAACAATCGAATGGTCTATAACATTCGGATGCCCGAATATTAACGTCGCGGGTCTGGTAAATCCCTTAATTGGATTTTACAGTTACACTTTCTTCAATCTTTTTTGGATTCAATTGCATGCAAGTACAATATTGCTGCCATTGTCAATGACAAAAAAAGAACAGGTGTACTAAGAGTATTCAAACCGCATTTCCTCAAGACGCAATTAATGCAGCTTGTATACGATTCTGTTAAATGAATACTTGAACAATGATTTTTTATTGATCGTAAATTGTAAATTATATTACTTTCTCGGGAAAGTATGTTTCCTAAAAAAAAAAGAAACAGATTTCATTTAATATTTTATGAACTGTTCTCTTTGCTGGTGGATTTTTAAAATTTGATTTCACTTGTATATAAAATACACAAAACATTTACACACCTGAAAGAATAAGTAAAAATAATAAGTGAAATCGGATCGAAGGATTACAATGACACGCGACGTAATATTCGGTTACTTGAATATTATGAATCTTCTAGGTTACCGATTCGACCTAAGCTCCACCTAATCCAACTTTGACCCGAAATTTTCGGGTACCTGAGTATCGCAAACTTTTGAGACCCGACCTGAACCCGAGAAAATAACCTGACTCGACCCGAGCACTAACTAACCCGACTTTGACCCGAAATTTTCGGGTACCTGAGTATCGCAAACTTTTGAAACCCGACCTGAACCCGAGAAAATAACCTGACTCGACCCGAGCACTAACTAACCCGACTTTGACCCGAAATTTTCGGGTACCTGAGTATCGCAAACTTTTGAGACCCGACCTGAACCCGAGAAAATAACCTGACTCGACCCGAGCACTAACTAACCCGACTTTGACCCGAAATTTTCGGGTACCTGAGTATCGCAAACGTTCGGGACCCGACCCGAATCCGAGAAAATTTCCCTACCCGAGAAAATAACTCGACCCGACCTGAACCCGAAATATCGGATTCCCGCCCACCCCTATTATTTACGAGAGCCAGTCAGCTTACATTCGGTTATTAAAACGCGGAGTTACGCTCGCGGAAACATCTTCTATAAGACGGTCTCTCTGTGTGCACAGAAACGGAGGAATCATCGGTCTCCAGCAGTTCCACGATGGAAGATAGTGTCCCTTTGTTTTTTTATTGAATCTATCAACTGTTAAACGTCGCGCAGCTACTGTTTACAAACAGGATCGGATGCTCCATCGAGTCCCGAAGCTCGGTTCCCTTAAAAACAGCTCCGGGCGAGAAAATATTACTCGACGCTATTTTCTCATTTTTCGCGAGGGATGGCCTAACGCTCTCTCTCTCCTCTCTCTCTCTTTCTCCTCTCTCTCTCTCCACTCTCTCTCTCCTCCCTCTCTCTCTCCTGTCTCTCCTGTCTCTCTCCTCTCTCCTCTCTCTCCTCTCTCTCTCTCTCCACTCTCTCCACTCTCTCTCTCCACTCTCTCCCCTCTCTCTCCTCTCTCTCTCCTCTCTCTCTCCTCTCTCTCTCCTCTCTCTCTCCTCTCTCTCTCCTCTCTCTCTCCTCTCTCTCTCCTCTCTCTCTCCTCTCTCTCTCCTCTCTCTCTCCTCTCTCTCTCCTCTCTCTCTCCTCTCTCTCTCCACTCTCTCTCCTCTCTCTCTCTCCACTCTCTCTCCTCTCTCTCTCCTCTCTCTCTTCTCTCTCTCTCCTCTCTCTCCTCTCTCTCTCCTCTCTCTCTCCACTCTTTCTCCTCTCTCTCTTCTCTCTCTCTTTCTCCTCTCTCTCCTCTCTCTCTCCTCTCTCTCTCTCCACTCACTCTCTTCTCTCTCTCTCCTCTCTCTCTCTGTCTCGCGCGCACATTATTCGACAGAACCTGCATATCAAGGGACCAACTTGGTACACCGGTCGTAGGGGACGAGTATAGAACCAAAGCTTCGGCTCGTAAACACGTTTAGCACTCGCCTCGGGTGCTGGTCGTGCGACGATTGCAAAAGTTCAATTCGAGTTCCGTCCGTGGTCTGCACAGCTCAGGTGTGTCCGCAGGGTGACCGTCGCCCATTTAGGACCGTGGAGGATAGATAAAGCGATAACGAGGTATTTCGAGGAGAGTTATATTATCGGCCGGGTTTATCGTCCCCATCTTCCCTTCCCTCCTCCTTCTTCTTCTATAAAAAACGGTCTCACGGTGCCGCGGGTTGCAACAGATGGCAACGGGAAAATTCGCGAGCAGGCACGCATTTTCTACTTACCTCCGAAAGCGGATTACCGCTCGCTCTCCGAGCCGCTCGTTGTCGGCGAATCGCTGAAACGACGGTACCGGACGAGTGGACGGCTCACGACGATTTCGCGAAGATCTCGCGACGGTTCTCGCGACGGTTTCGCGCCGATTCGAGCGACGGGCGAGCACACGGGACAGAGGGCGATACGAGCCGAAAGACATTTGACGCGCGTCGCGACGCCGACTGGAGAAGTTCGCGGCGAGGTGGGCACGTCGGCCGGACGCCGGCTCGTCGGGACGCCGCCGGGACGTCGAGACGCATGCTCCAGGATACGTCGTGCCACGGGGATCGTCTGATGGAATGCAAGCAGCCGGCCGGGGGGAAGCTAATAATTGAGAGACACTCGGGGACCGGTTTTCATTCGAATCGAAAGTTGATCGACGCCCGCGAACGCTGCCTCCCGCAACCGAGTAATTGTCATATCCACTTGCCTTCGCCCTAATCGAATATCCCTCGAGAACAATTCCTTCGATAAGCTCGAGCCGCGAGAATGCGGACTTTGTTTCAGCGATCACCGACGACTTACGTTGCGAGTACGAGGAAGTTTTCTTAATCCTCGATTTCCATCGATTTTCCTCGATTTTCATCGATTTTCATCGATTTCGAACGAACAGAATGTTCTAAATAACGTTTTTTTTTAACCCGGCGACGATTATTTCATTGAAATTACGAAGATCCTCTCGTAAAAAACTGTTGAACAAACTTCTCGATTCGGATGCGTAAGGTTAAAGTACCTATTATGAAACACCGCTGAATTGTGACCCCTACTCGAAACGGTAGCAGCAAAAACTAGTAGTTTATAAGAGTATTTTGTAAATTAGATAGATACTATTATTATATATCGGCTGTGAAAAAGATGTTTATTCGAGCGCGGATGTTCCTTGGCAAGAACATACTGCTCCATACTGTTTCGTTGTCCCGATTTATGGAACTGGCATCCGTGATTCAAATTCAATTTTGCGAAGGTTATTTCAAATACGCGAGAACGTATTATGATACATATATATAATATATATTATATATATTAACGTATTATTTTACTAGTTTCCTCGCATTATTTTTTATTTATATTATGTAAATATTTCAAAATTCATTAAGTTATCTAGGAATATGAATTTATCGAACGGTAGTATAAACATTCGACAATAACATACTAATATAATAATAATAATTAAACTAATAATAAAACTAATATAATATTGTTACGACAACTTGTCCAAATCAAGTCGCTGTAATGTGAAACTGCCCTGTTATGAACAACTCCTTAAAAAATAATGTGTTACCAACGGACAATCGAAAAGTCGAGATCGGACCGTCGAACGAGCAACATTTCAAATTGAAAGATCTGAAATATAATTGTATCGAGTTGTATTATAGTTTATATTCTTTATTGTAAATAAAATGTCGCGACGCGAGAAATCCGTGATAATCTTGTATCCTTTGAAAAGCGTTTCATAATAGGTACGTTTATCGTACCGTAATAAAAATGACGAAAGGTATCGTTAATTTCGATCTTGTTATTCTTATATTGGGTTGGCAACTAAGTAATTGCCAATTTGTTCAATGAAATAAAAAATTTTTTTTTACTTGGAACGAAGTTTAATCTGTAATGTATTTTCCATTTTGTTCGATGACCTTTTGCCATCTCTCCGACAACTTGAAAATTCCACGCTCGTAGAAAGTCTGATCCTTTTCGGCCAAAAACTGAGTTAAGTGAGATTTTACAGCGTCATCGTCGTTCAAAGTTTTACCACGAAGGGAGTTGTCCAGGGATCGAAGTAAGTGGTAATCCGATGGCGCGAGATCAGGGCTATATGGTGGGTGTAACATCAATTCCCAAACAATATCCATGAATTTTTGCCGAGTGGACAAAGACGTGTGCGGCCTAGCATTGTCCTGCTGGAAAATGACACCTTTACGATTGACCAATTNACGTGTGCGGCCTAGCATTGTCCTGCTGGAAAATGACACCTTTACGATTGACCAATTCTGGTCGGTTTTCCTTGACCGCTGCATTCAATTTGTCCAGTTGCTAACAT